AAAAGCATATGCTGGAGAGATTCAGTTATTGAGCTCAGCCTCCTGCTGAGCCCGTACTCTTTAATTTGGAATTATCAGAAAAGATGCAACTCCAACATGAATTCTTGCCTTTAAAATACTAAAATGAGCAAGAAATCACAGCCTTTAAGTGTTCAAGGCATTTTAATGATGGTTAAGGTCAAAGACAAAGTGCAGACCTGTGGAAGAGACTAATGTAATTCTTATTTCCACTGAAGTAAGAGGACTCAAGCTTAGAGTGGAAGAGAGGAGAATGCAGACGGGCTCTTTAGTGCTGCAAGGAGAAGGAGGGACTGCAGTCAACAGTAACACAAAAGACATTCCCAAGCATTGCTCCATCATTTTATAGTATCTCAGAAAGAACAAGGATGCTCCTGCCCTTATGGCAGCAATTAGAGGGAATGCAGAAAAGGGAAGTGTAGCTTTTAGAGGAAAGGGCTTTGTGATAGGATGGTGCTGGGATGAGCAATTTCTCTTTGATTATCAGCTCCAGCTGGGAGAGTGGGAGAAGAGAGGGAAGCAGGTGGCTCCTGAGAGAGTCCACCTGGAAGAAGGGTATAGAAGGGAAGCTGTGCCACAATGCAAGTCCTAGAGTTAAGAGGAGGGTAGAAAGTGAAAGGCTGATGTGTTTTGTTTTAATTTTTTATTTATTAAAGAGTAAGAGCTTGTATTGTGATCTTTTTGAGTTAACAGTAGAAAGTGTATTTGTGAAAGGTGTTGAGAAAGCCCTGGTTGCTGCATTGAGCTCTTCCTGGGTGAGTAAATATTGTACTAGCTCATACTATAACAACAACAACAAAAAAGACAGACTTTAGCAAGTTCTTGCTACCTGTTTGGGTAATGCAGCTCTGTGTGTGCTCAGTTAAAAGGAAACTTAAAAGTTTTGTATTTTTTCTGTATGGCAATCCCAGACACAGCATAACCAGATGTTTCTAGGTTTTTTTGCTAAATCACTGATGCCAGTGATCCTGGACTACTTGTGTGGCTGGGAACCAATGTAATTTGCAAGTACACGAATTCAGTAATACTGCAAATTAACTGATGAATTCTTGAGTCTTTTGCCTTCTAAATTCAAGCAGTGGATAATATACTGGCAGGAGGGAAAGGGAGAAATTCATTTGCAGGGGCTCGCTAGGCTCAAGATAGATCTCTGCAAAGCTTGGGAAAATAGCTTTCTGTGGCTCTGCTGAGTTCCTGTTTAATTACTTAGCCAGATATGACCTTGCACAACTTCTATAATACAAGGGACTAGGAGGTCTTTTGTGGTAAACAGAGCCCATAATAACTCCATTCTCTAATCTCTCTTTCTCTAGCTGATGCCACCCTTTATAAAACTATATATATCCCTGAAGCACCTAATTGAGAAATGGCTTTGTAAGGGTATAAAAACATTTGAGTTGCAGGAAGTAATTACACAGGAACAGTGTTACTTGTCTTCTTATTGTTACATACAAACACTGTTATTGGAAGACTCATTTCTAGTTGTGTGTCCTTTGGGTGGGCAGTTATTATACGTTTGGCCACTGGAAGGAAATGCCTAAGATGTTGAGCAGAGTGATGTTATTTAGTTCTATTTTTAATACAGTTTAGGAGGTGCATAACAGTTCATTTGCAGTTTTCTTGCATGCATCTGGGAGTCTGTCCCATATGAAAGCATCCCAAAGGTACACGGGTGTGTGTGGCACCTTAGGAGAGGCTAACAGAGAGTCTGCATAACTCTGCAAAGTGAACCTACGCTGTTCGCGGTAACAAACGCTAAGAACTGAAGGAACTGGAGAAGTAGTGACGTGGTATAATGTAGTGGATCGTACTGTGTTGAGAAATTGTTTCATTACAAGCATTGCTTTATATGGTTCTCTTGTTTTGTTTTTGAAAGCACTATATAAATAATCAATATTTTCTTTTATATTGGTGATGCTGATGTCTTAAACTTGCATTGTGGGGGACAGGATGAAATGAGTTTTGAGGTGCATGACATTATAAATGTGGACCTTGGGTGTTGGTGGGTGTTTTGGGGTTTTTTGGGGTTTTTTTTGGTGCTAAATACACCTGTAACACACAGTTCAGGAAAGAAAGGAGATGGTCCAAATTCTGTCGTGTTCTTGTTGAACAACATACAGAGCCTGCGTTAATCAGCTAGCTATCAGAGCCATTCACACTTCCACCTTTATCATACCCTTACAGGACAAGCACAGCCTGCCCCTAAATCTCACACTGCCTCTGTGTGTCAGAAACAGCCTCTCACCTGCCGTAAAAATGCAGCCCTCTCTGAGCAGCTGGCCACAGCCGCTGCTTCAAAATGAATGGCATTACTTTTGACATGACTTAAATATCAGCCTCTTAAATATTGTGTCCCTTTACTATTTTGCTTTTCGAGCAAAGAAGCTGCTCTGCCTTAAGGGGTGAAGGCAGGTCCACTGGTTCTTAATTGCCTCCTTCCCCAAGTGACTTGGGAGATTGTTCTCTAACTGGCTGTAATTATCCTTTACTGTAAACTAACCACAGTACACTCTGATTTCAGTGTTATGTTCATTAGTAAGAATCCTGTTTTGAATGTTAATGTATTCTGGGAATGTCCAGTCTACAAGAATGGACTGATTTGTGTAGGAAGTGTTTGTGAAATACCCTGAGGAACAAATTTGTAACACGTAACTGATTTGAAATGAAATCCACGATGTTAAGGACAGAATATCAATGATGGTCAAGTTGCAGAGTGGCTTTACATGTGAACATCGTCTAAAAGGGAGATAAACTTTTTATTGTCCCCAAAAGAGCACTTGATGGGAAGGTCGGTTCTGAGCCTATGCCTGCAAAAGATTTCTCCCCGTGGTCGGTGTTTGTGGCATGATTTCTTGTTTGAGGCGAAGAGGGGATTTATCCTTTGAGTGGCACTACTGGTGGTTTTGCAACGGAAGTGGGCTAATAATTTAGCATGGGAGAAATGTGGGAAGAATGAAAGCTTCCCTTCATACCTTGGCTCAAACATAATCCATAAAAAGAAGACTCACCACACTTTTTTTTAAAAAAAAAAAAAAGTCTGAATCCTAGCAGATGCTTTCTCTTGTTATTTTCAAGGTATTCAGCAGTGTGGGTGCTTGGTTTTCAGATGGGTAAGTGTGTGCAGCATATCGGTTCTGCCATCCAGCTCCTACTCAAGCCCCGGGATCTGGAATTTTCTGCCATGTCTCCTGTAATGAGCAATGAAGCATGGCTGCTCTGCCAAGCACCCGTGGAAAGGTTTGTCTAGTAATGTTGTTGATTGCTGGATAATAAAGGAGGTGACTTGGTTGATTTTGTTTTTTTTTTTTTTTTCTTCTTAGG